AGAGAGAGATGGAAGAAGGGAGAGAGAGAGGAAGAGATCTCATGTGGGAATGTTCCCACATCTGCCACCAGGTGGCGCTGTTGGCCCAGGACAACCGGGGATAACCCACTGCAGCAGGGAGTGCCACCATTAGTATAGGACCCTCCTGCGGGCACCTGCACCCGGGAACCTTCAGGGATTAGCCTCCTGGTCTGTGCTCATCTTCTCCTGGGAGAGATGGTTGTGCCAAATGCCCAAGCCTAACAAGGCCTTGGCACACGGTGGACACAGAATAAATATTTGTTGAAAAATGGTGTCATCTTATTTTTGTTGTCCCCACACCCCCACCCCAGGTCTTCAGGACTATTTTTCAGCGTGGCAGGGAGTGGGGAGGGGACACCGGCACCCTTGCTGCCTCCGCCACCCCCAGCAGAGTTGAGCAGGAAAGTCTTGCCTCTTGTCGTTAGGTGTTGTTGAGTCAATTCTGACTCACGGCAGCTGCGTGTGACAGTGTCGAGCTGCCCCGTAGGGTTTCGTTGGCTGTAATCTTTACAGGAGCAGGTTACCGGGTCTTTTCTTCCACAGAGCTGCTGGGTGGGTTCAAACCGTCAACCTTTTGGTTAGCAGTCAAGTGCTTAACCATTGGGCCACCAGGGCTCCTTAAGGCTTGCCTGGCTCTGGGCGTATATCCAGCAGAAAAGGCCCTGGACTCTGGTCCCAGTGCACCTCTGATTCCCTCTGTGGCCTGAGCAGGTCATTTACTTTCTTTTTCTCCGTCACTGAAACTGTAAAACGACGTTTACGACGAGCCCACCAGCCCTGCCAGAGGAATCAAGTGAGTTGCAGGCTAGCACAGTGGTTAAAAGCTCAGTCGCAGGAGTTCAAATCCACTGCTTACTCATGTGACCTTCGGCAGGTAGCTCATGCACTCTGAACTACAGTTTCCTCATCTATGAAATCGGGGCAACAATAACAGCTCCCCACACACGGTTTCTGTGAGGTTCAAGTAGTCGGTACATGAAAAGGCTTCAGAACGATGCCTGGCATAGAAGAAATGCTTAATAAGCAGCCGCAAATACAAGGCAGCTTGAACTGAGAAGAGACTTCAGAATCTCCCAGCAGCATGCAGGGTGAATGTCCTCTGGGTGGGCTTGCTTACCTCCAGTGACGGAGAGCTCATCTCCTCTCAAGAAAGGAAGCTGGTCCATTGTGGGTTAGCTTAGCTCACAGATAGGTGCCAAATCAAGCCACTGACCTCCCAGAGTGGGGCACTGAGTCAATGCCACCCAACTACAGGGCTGTACATGGTCCAAGGGGGTCCCCAAAAGAAAACCTGGATGCTGCTAGGCTGGGCCCTCCACACCTGCCCTTTCTAATGTGGACATGCTTGAGAGGGAGGATAGCAGGAACCAAGAGCTTGTTGACCAGCCCCTGGTGGCCTGGACAGTGGGGACCACAAGGATAGGAGGAAGGGAAACGCTGGTGGTCTCAGCCACAGGTTAGAGCGAAGGTTCCTCCTGAGGCTAAAGTCTTTCAGGAAGGAGGAAGTGACTTCCCACCGTGGGGGAGGAGAGGAGAGCGGCCCCTTCCCACAGCACTTCTGCTTCCTGCGCACCTCCACGTGCAGCTGCTTTGAGAGGAAACGCCCAGAAAACCCAGCAGCTGGTGACCCTCATGACTGCGACGCGGCAGCCTTGCAGGCACTTAGAAGTTTTGTCTGCGGGTCTGTTCCCTTCCTAGACGGGGAGTCCTTTGAGGGCAAGACCATGGCTTATGGACCACCACATACCACCCGGCACACAGTGGGCGCTTAAACGTGTTCGTGGAACTAGACTGAAAAGGAAGGCCAACAATTGTGGCCCAGCTTGCTAAGTCTGCACTTCCCCATTTCCCCACCCCATTTCCTTGCCAAATTCCTCTTCCTTCTGGGCTGTTACCTCCTCCATGAAGCCTTCCTGGGCACCACCCTCCCCCCTCTCCTCCGCCCCGGCTCCACTCCAGGTAATTCACTTCTTCCCCTGCCTTCCTCCTTGGCCTGGACACACTTCTGCAACAAGGTGGGCTCGAGCAGTAGTTAGGAGCACAGGCGCTGGGACCCCTTCAGATCATGTTACCTTAACCGCCCTGTGCCTCAGTTTCCTCATCTGTAAAATGAAAGTGATTATAGTACCGACCTCATAGGGTGGCAGTGAAGCCTCATTGGTTAGTAGATTGAAAGCACTTTGAATGGGGTCCAGCGCTGAGTAACTGCTCTGAAAGTGCTAGCTAGGCTATTACTGCAGGTACTGGAATTGTCACTCACCCACACTGGGTGTAGACTCCTCAAGCTGGGGTCTCTCATGTCTGCCTCCTTCTACTGAGGCCAGTGCCCAGCCCAGAGCAGGCACTGGGCAAAATTTGAATGGATGGATGGATGAATAGATGGATAGGTGGTTGGACAGATGGATGGGTGGATGGATGGACAAATGGATGGATGACGGGTGGGTGATTAGATAGATGGATGTGTGGTTGACGGATGGATGGATGGACAGGTGGGTGGATGAATGGATGGATAGACTGATGGGTGGATAGATGATGGATGGGTGGATGGGTGGGGTAGGTGGATGGATGGATGGGTGGATGAGTGGGTAGACAGGTGGATGGGTGGATGGATGAATGTATGGACAGACAGGTAGACAGACAAACAGATGAATGGATAGACAGACGGGTGGGTGAATGAATGGATGGACAAATGGATGGATGGTAGGTGGATGGGTAGATGGATGGATGTATGGTTGGACAGACGGATGGATGGACATATGAATGGGTAGATGGATGGATGTGTGGTTGGACAGATGGACGGATGGATGTATGAATGGATAGATGACAGAATGGTGAGTAGATGGGTGGGTGGATGGATGGATGGACTAATGGACAGACAGAAGGGTATACAGACGGACTGATTGATGGCTAACTGGAAGTGAGCAAGTGGTGAAGAAGTGTTGGGAAAGCTAAGAGAGCCCTGTTTCCTCTGCTCTTCCTTCAGCCTCCAGGGCCTTTTATTCGCTTATTGGCAGTTCCCGGGAGGACACAGGGAGAGAGAAGCAGGCAGACCCAAGCGCAGTAAGTTCACTGCTTAGCAGCCACTTGAGCAAAAGCCTTGCTGGAAAGGACATACAAAGTTTGATGAAAATGAGGTTTCTGAATGCATAGTGGTTTCGTTTCGATCGTCCTGGTTTCCGGGGCTAATCAGGGCCAGACTAGAGGCTCCAACTGCGTAGCCGTCGGGCTCCCTGCCCAGGGCCACCCCTGTCTCTTCCTGGGAGGCTGTGTGGGCCAGGGTGTCTCAGAAGCTCAAGAATAACCCAGGACCCCAGCCCCTTCTTCTGTAGTCACACCCTGCCCCGCGCTTGGCAGCCCTCCTCCTACTCCACCCCAGGAGCCCAGCCATCCCACCGAGGCCTTGAGGGCCTACTATGTGCCAGGTGCAATGTTAGGCAACCATATTCCCACAAGCCTGGAAGGAAGCCCCTCCAGCCCCATTTTACACTCATCCATCATCCATTCATCCATCCATCCATCCACCCACCCATCCATCCATCTCCCCTTGTTTCCACTCATTTAACAATATGTGTGGACGCATACCACCTGCCGGCTCTGTGCTAGGCATAGGACTTGCAGAGATGAGTGAGGCCAGTCAAAGCCTGGCAACCAAGAGACCAAGTTCCAGGTGTGCAGGGGGCCAGGGACTCCAGCAGTGCAAGGCTGGAGCATGAAGACCACCACGGGGTGGGGGGACCTGGGGGTCTTTGTCCTGAGGCAGGACAGCACCAGAGCAGGCAGGTGAGCGGCAAAGAGCAGTGCCAGCATCAGCACACAGGCTTACATGCTCCGTGGCTGCCTGGCACCTCTGCCTCGACCTGACACGAAGCCATAAAGAGCTGTGCAGAGGCACAGACGGCTGCCTTTCCAGGGCCCCTTGGAGTGCCGAGCATTAACGTGACGTTTATCACCATGGCATCGCTGCGCTCAGACAACCCGCGCCCCCCAGGATCTTGGGAACAGCGTGAGGCAGATTATCTGTGACATATGCGATCGTGCATCACGGTGATGGATCAACAGTCAATACCTCGAGCGCCCCTGCCCCCACAACAGTAGGGACTGTCTTCTGCTCATCTGTCTTCCTCACTTGGTGGGTATCCCGCACCAGCCTGGGTCCTCCTGGAGGTGGCGGGAAACGGCTCTCGTCATGGACCCAAACTGGACCGTGCTGTGCCCTAACTGGGGGCTGCAGGCAGGGCACCTGGGCCCGGTTGAGGAGGCAGCAGGGGGTGGGGAGAAAGGCTCAGCATCCCACAGGCTGGGGGCAGATCCTGACCCACGCACCACCTTGAACGGGCAAGTGGCTTGGCCACTGGGCGCTATGGCTTTCTCTCCTGTGCAATTGGGATAATAACATTTATCTCAGGGGTTAATGGGCACTGCGAGAGGAAGAGATAGCGCTGGATGAGCTTCCTAAAGCTGCTGTAACCAAGGACCACACGCTGGGGGCTTAAAACAACAGAACTTCATTCTCTCACAGATCTGGGGGCTGGGATTCCAAATTCAGTGTGTCGGCAGAGCCACGCTCTCTCCGAAGGCTCTAGGGGAGGATCCTTCCTCGCCTCTCAGCTTCTGATGATCATCATCCCTGCCTCTGTCGTCACATGGCCGCCCTGTGGTTCCCTGTCTCTCCTCTTTCATAAGGACATCACTCAGATTGGATCAGGATCCACCCGGCTCCAGTAGGACCCCAAGAGAACTAATTACGTCTGCCAAAACACTGTTTCCAAGTAAGGCCCCGTTCACAGGTACAGGGGTACACATCTCTTTTGGGGGACACAATTCAACCTATAGCAAGCACCCAGCATCTGCTTCCTCCTGTTGCCTCCGAGGCGCTCCAATGCTGGGGCACTTGATCCTCCTACACAGCCCCTCGGCCCCCCTTCCCTCCACCACATCGGCTCCCACACCCCATCCAGCCGAACTCTGCGCTTGGCCCAATGCTGAGCCGGAGGGTGCTGAGGGTGAGAGGTCCCCACCTGGGGGGAGATGGGGGCCGGCATCGAACAATTACAGGCCTGCATGTCAGAGCCTCTGGAAGGGAGGATGGGGCTGCAGCACGGAGCCAGATGGGGAAGCATTTGTGTGTCTCACTGGGTGGCTGGGTGAAGGTTTAGGAAGCCACAGGAAGGAGTGACGTTTGAGGTAGGGGGGCGGTGGGGGCGTCTCTGAGCCTCTGTAGCAGGGTCCATGGTGGCCCTCGCTGGCTAATGCCTGGCAGGCCGCCCCCAGGAGGTGCTGGGCGTTCTTGGGAGTTGAGAACGTGTGGGTCCTACCCCTTCCCCTAACAGCCTGTCTCTTTCTCTATCCCCTCATCACTTCCACCCCAGCCCTCTCCTCTTTGATAAGCACGTTATCAAGGGCTCCTGGGATCTTTCAGAGGGGAAGTTTGGGTGAACGTGTTCGTCTTCAAAGAGCTTCAAAAGTGAGGCGCTCAGCCAAGCCCCGAGTAACTCCCGGGAGTTCTGCGCCCTTCTCTTCTCCGTCACTGAAGCCGTCTGGGCCGGCCACCTCCACAAAGGGCCCCAGGAGTGTGGAGCCGGATCTGGATTCGAGTCCCAGCCCAGCGCTCCTCCCGCTGTGTGGCCTGGGCAAGTCTGGGCCCCGATTCCTCATGTGCCGGCCCTTCCAGCCAGGGTGTTGCGGCCACTCTTGGAGCCGAAAGTCGAAAGTCGGGGTGATTGTGAGGAGGCCGAGGGAGGTTCGAGGAAGGAGCAGGGGGCCGGGGAGGAGCCTGGGGCACCAGAAGGGGAACTGCCGAGGCTGTCGGTTGCCCTTTCCAGGAACAAAAGAGGAAGGAGGGACAGGGACCCCGGCCTTCCCCACGAAGAGACCTGGCCTCCGTGGCGGTGGGGCCCCCGGGCCCCCGGCACCCATCCGGCCCCCTCATGACCTCCCGGCTCCTGGGCTTGCTCCTGTTCTCCTGGACCCTGCAGCTCGGAGGTACGTTTGTCTCCTTGGCACGTCCTCTCGCTCTGCACATCAGAGCTGCTTTCATCCAGCGCGCGGCTAATTCCTGGGAACTGTCTCTGGGGACTTGCTGGCTGCTGTTTGAACATTGCAGACTTCACAGGGGAAGCCTTCAGGGACCGAGAAGATATTTAGCTAATGCCTTGCCAAGGAAGCTTTGGGAGGGACTGGGGCGGTCCTCACTCTGCACGACTGTGTTAACAGCCTCCCTCCCACACAGCCTGACCTCACGGGTACTTAAATAAGGTGGGTGGGTGTTCCTGTAGCCAGAGGGACCAGGGGTCAGTGGGGAGCGACAGCCCACAGCCCAGTGAATCAGCTGTGAACGCCATTGCGGTGGAACGGTGGGGATGCGGCGAAAGGTGGTTCTCGGTGTTGAAACTGTGGCAGAGCCATCCTCGGTGTTGTTGCTGGGGTTCGCCAGGGAGAGACGGGGAGGCCAGCAGCCGGCCACAGAGCCCCGTGCCCTGGGGACACAAAATTGTCACTGTCACCAGAAAGGGTGGCACTCCTGCTTCCTGAAGTGCAACCAGAGGCCAGGTCCTTATTTTATCACAGAAGAGACGTGTTTCCAGGGGCCCGTGCTGATGCCTCCTTCTGATCCCAGAAGACCTCAGTCACCGGGAGGCCTGGCTCCTGGATCCTCGGGCGTGTTCACCCAGGCTAGAGAGCCCCCAGGGATGCCACCTCACACTCAGTCCCACCCAGGGCACTGCAGAGCAGGCTCTGCCCAGTTCTTGCTCTCTGTCTCTCCCTGGCCTGGACATCTGCCGGCCTCTTCCATTCCAGGGTCTAGGATAGGCTTCCATCTTTCGTCTCACTTCGACTTTCATGAGGCTTCCAGGAGCTGCCCTTGCCATTTGGCTTCACCCCCTGCCTTTCGTTTATGCCATAAATAATGACAATTATTATCGTCATCATGAGCTCACCTCTGTGGGGCACTTACACTATGCTAGGTGTCCCCAGGTGGTGCCAACAATGAACATGATTGACTGCTAACCAAAAGGTGCCTTGGAAGAAAGGCCTGGTGATCTACTTCTGAAAAATCAGCCACTGAAAACCCTATGAAGCACAGTTCTCTTCTGACACACATGGGGTCACCATGAGTCAGAGTCAACTGGATGGCAAATGGTTTTAATTGGTGTCATAGTGCTGAATGCTTCCCACTCACTCAGCCCACCCTTGCAGTACCGCCTCAGGGTGCCCTTATCAACACCATTTTGAGGACCGGGAAATTGAGGCCAAGGAGGCCAAGTAACTTGCCCAAGGCCTATGGGGTAAGTAGAGGCAGGTTCAGACCCAGGTCAGCCTGAGCCCCGAGCCAGGGCCTCACTGGGCTGGTGGGCTTGGGGGCTGCTCCTCACCTATCTTTGCAAAGATCATTCTTCACAGAAAAATGTCACCCCCTGGGAGACACGAGCTGACCTGTCCCCACCACAGGCCGTTTGCAAGGGCATCCATTTCATCCCGTCTCGCTCTCCTCCCTCAGTGACGGCCCCCAGAAATACGGCTTGTTGGTGATAACGTCCCTGAACTCACACTTGGTTATCTTTAACTGCATTTCCCCAAGTTCTTGTCATTTTTCTCTGTGTGGTCCTCCTCCCCAGGAGGAAACCAGGTACATCCGGGTAACCGGTGTCGGAGTACTCAATAAGCCAAGTAAAAACCTTGCCATCAAGTCGATTCCAACTCATAGCGACCCTAGAGGACAGCGTAGAACTGCCCCATAGGGTTTCCAAGGAGCACCTGGTGGATTCCAACCGTCGAACTTTTGTTTAGCGCAGAGCTCTTAACCACTGTGCCACCAGGGCTTGCTTGTGCTTACTTACTAATCTGTGGCGAACAATTTCACGTTTTTTCACCACATCAAAGATTCTGCTTCTAGGCTGGCATCTGTCTCTCTCCCAACCCCACAGCAGCTTCCTACAAAATCAAAGCCTCTTTTCAAATTTGCAGTCCCTGACAGGGACGCGGTACCCAGTAAGAAAGGTTAAGCACGGGCTTACTTGTGCTTATTTACTAATCTGTAGTGAGCAATTTCACGTTTTTCAGCGCATCAGACATGTGAAAGCCATGTGAAATTGCTCACTACAGATTAGTAAGCACAAGTAAGCCCATGCTTACCTTGCTTTTAGGTAGCCCGCCCCTGCCAGCAACTGAGGTGAAAAGGCTTTGTGGGGTGCCACAGCCCAAAAGTTCTTTTGTAACAGTCTCTGCTGCAAAGAGAAACAATTTTTTCCCCCTATTGCAGCAAGCGGTTTCACAAAACAGAAACTCTTTTTACTCTTACGTAAGAGGTGAAAACCCCCACCGCGGTTGCATGGAACCCTGGAGAGCAGCAGGCAGCCCCCGTTTATTTCCTGGTCCTACCCCTGGGGGTTGGGTCATCCGACTTTGTCTCTGTGTCACCGCGCACCCCTCCCCAACTCTCTTGTCCCTGAGCTTTGAAGGGTTAACAACAGGAATCTCACTTCCTCCACACCCTCCAAACCTCCCCTGACTTCAGCCATCATCAGCCTTGGTGCAACCACGTCCCCTCCACCTGCCAACACCAGACACAGCTGTCCTTCTGAACTGTGTCTGCGGGGATTCTCGGAGGTGGTGTCCGAGTCCTCACTGAAGTCCAGGGTCACGGCGTCTTCGCCCTTTCCCTGAACTGCGTATGATTCGGGGTTAAGAGTGCAGGCCAGGGATGTTCAGCCTGCTGCTCACCTTGGGGCCCTGGGCGCATTACTTAGTGTTGCTGTGTCTCAGTTGCCTCATCTGTTCAATGGGTACGATAACAACGCCAGCCTCGCAGTACGTCCTGAGGACATAGTACTGGCAGTGTGCTTAGTGCTCAATGAACATTAGCCACCTACCAGCCTAGTAAAGCCGATCGAAATGGGACATTCGCTCGGACCCGCTCGGCACCTTGGTGACACCCACTGGCTCTTTGGAGTCACCCCATGCTTTCTACTGCCTGCCAGCCCACCTTGGGATGGAGCCCCAGGACCTCTCTTGCTCCCAGCCCTTCTCCTCCAGAGCCCTCTGCAAACTCCACTTTTCTCAGAGGTCCCTGAAGCCGCTGGTAGTCTCATGGGCAGCTGCTCTCCCCCAACAGGCAAGCCATCTGAGCCCATGTCACCTGTTTCACCCCTGCTTCCAGCAGGGCTCAGTCACCCCCAAGGGCTTTGGGACCAGACAGATCTGAGTTTGAATCCTGCCTCCTTCTCTTGACTGCTGTGTGACCTTGGGCAAGTTACTTAACCTTTCTGAGCCTCAGTTTCCTCATCAAATGTCAGTCTGCTTTCTCTTCTGGGCCTTTCCAGCCTCTTGGCTGTATTCATTTCTCAGATACCCTTGGGAGGGCCAGTCCTAGGAACTAAGGGGACAGGGAGGGAACAGGTCACAGCCCCACTCTCAGCCTGGTGGAGACCAGACTTGCCCAAGAACATGGCTGGGGGAAGCAGGCTGGCTTGCTCTCCCCACTTCTCTGGGCTCAGGTGCCACTGCTTGCTCTGTCGTCCTAAAGACAGTCAGCAGCCGCTGCCTCTTCCTGCCTCTCTCCTGCAGCTCCTACCTCTGTCACCATCGGCCCCTGCTTTTCGTCTTTGTCTAGTCCTAGTAAAGAGCTAGCTAGGCACACGGGGAGAGGAGCCTCTCTGCTGGAGGTGGGCAGGGGAGGAGGCCAGAGCTAGTGGGTGGCGGCAGGCCCAGCAGGAATAAAGGCGGAAGGCAGGAAAGCAGAGCGGGAGAGTGGACGGTGAGAGGTTCTGATCGACTGAGCAGTGGGATAGGAAACCATTCTTGGTGGATTATAAATACCTGTCAGGTAGGGGGTTCAGATGCTGGTTCAATAGGTCATATTGTCATTGCTTGCTCTTTTTTGATTGTGAAATATAATAGAAAGATAGATAAATAGATAGCTGCCATTGAGTTGGCTCCGACTCATAGCGACCCTTCTACAATAGGACAAAATATTGCCCAGTCTTGAGTCATCTTGGTGATCACCAGCGTGTCTGAGGCCATCATTACAGCTATGGTGCCAATGCATCTCCCCAAGGGTCTCCCTCGCCCTCACTGGGCTTACTTCACCAAACATGATGTCATCCTCTAGTGATTGCTCCCTCCTGATGACATGACCTGTCCAAAGTGAACAAATCAGACAACGTTCTGTTTTCACTGGCTGACCTTCAGAAGTAGATGGCCAGGCCTTTCTTCCTAGTCTGTCTTAGTCTGGAAGCTCTGCTGAAACCTGTCTACCATGGGTGACCCTGCTGATATTTGGAATATGGTGGCATAGCTTCCAGCAACACAATTACACGTAAGCCATCACACTACAACAAACTGACAGACGAGCGGTGTTGCGAAATATAATACACACAGAGAAAAGTACGGTGCTGTATGATAAATACTGTAAAGCAAAGTCTGTGGGACCACTACCCTGGTCAGGAAAGAGAAACTTGCCAGTGCCTCGGAGCTCCCTTGCCTTCCAAAGACACTTCTTCTTCCCCTGACGGGGACCACCCTCCTGACTTTTAGGACAATCACTTCCTAGCATTTCTTTTTAGCTTTATCATTTATTACTTATCCCTAAACGATACAGACGAGTTTTGTGTGTTTTTGAACTTTATGTAGTTGGAATGACACCGTATGTATTCTCATGGGATCTGCTTCTTTCATTGAACATTAGCTCTTTCAAGATATATTTAGTTGTTGGTGGGAGTGCCTGTGAGATGCAATTACCATACTCAGTTGCTAACTGAAAGGGTGATGGTTGGAGTCCACCCAGAGGCATTGTCTCAGTCATCTAGTGCTGCTATAACAGAAATACCACAAGTGGATGGCTTTAACAAAGACAGATTTATTTTCTCACAGTCCAGTAGGCTACAAGTTCAAATTCAGGGTGTCAGCTCCAGGGGAAGGCTTTCTCTGTCGACTCTGGAGGAAGGTCTGTTTGCTTGTCTTCATTGCTGTAGAGCAGGGGTCTC